TTCAATTCCTGTATATCCTTGTTGACTTCTTGTCTCATTGATCTCTCTAATGTTGACAGTGGGGTGTTAGAGTCCTCCCATTATTATTGTATGGGAGTCTAATTTCTTTGTAAGTCTCTAAGGACTGCTTTATGAATCTGGGTGCTCCTGTATTGGGTGCATATATATTTAGGATAGTTACCTCTTTTTGATGAATTGATCGCTTTACCACTATGCAGTAGCCTTCTTTGTCTCTTTTGATCTTTGATGGTTTAAAGTCTGTTATATCAGAGACTAGGATTGCAATCCCTGCTCTTTTTTGTTTTCCCTTTGCTTGGTAGATCTTTCTCCATCCCTTTATTTTGTGACTACGTGTGTCTCTGCATGTGAGATGGGTCTCCTGAATACAGCAAACTGGTGGTCTTGACTCTTTATCCAATTTGCCAGTCTGTGTCTTTTAGTTGGACTAATTAGTCCATTTACATTTAAGGTTAACATTGTTATGTGTGAACTTGATCCTGTCATTATGATATTAGGTGGTAATCTTGCTCGCTAGTTGATGCAGGTTCTTCCTAGCATCAATGGACTTCACATTTTGACATGTTTTTGCAATGACTGGTACCTGTTGTTCCTTTCCATGTTTAGTACTTCCTTCAGGATCTCTTGTAGGGCAGGCCTGGTGGTGACAAAATCTCTAAGCATTTGCTTGTCTGTAAAGGATTTTATTTCTCCTTCACTTATGAAACTTAGTTTGGCTGGATGTGAAATTCTGGGTTGAAAATTCTTTTCTTTAAGAATGTTGAATATTGTCCCCCACCCTCTTCTGGCTTGGAGAGTTTCTGCCGAGAGATCTGCTGTTAGTCTGATGGCCTTTCCTTTGTGAGTAACCCGACCTTTCTCTCTGGCTGCCCTTAAGATTTTTTCCTTCATTTCAACTTTGGTGAATCTGACAATTATGTGTCTTGGAGTTGCTCTTCTTGAGGAGTATCTTTGTGGCATTCTCTGTTTTTCTTGAATTTGAATGTTGGCCTGCCTTACTAGGTTGGGGAAGTTCTCCTGGATGATATCCTGCAGAGGGTTTTCCAAGTTGGTTCCATTTTCCCCATCAGTTTCAGGCACCCCAATAAGACGTAGATTTGGTCTTTCTACATAATCCCATACTTCTTGCAGGCTTTGTTCATTTCTTTTTACTCTTTTTCTCTACACCTCTCTTCTCACTTCATTTCATTCATTTGATCTTCAATCGCTAATACACTGTCTTCCAGATGATCGAGTGGGTTACTGAAGCTTGTGCATTTGTCACGTAGTTGTCGTGTTATGGTTTTCATCTCTGTCAGTTCTTTTAAGGACTTCTCTACTTTTATTATTCTAGTTAGTCATTTGTCAAGTCTTTTTTCAAGGTTTTTAGTTTCTCCTTTAGCTCTGAGAAGTTTAATCGACTGAAGCCTTCTTCTCTCGACTCATCAGAGTCATTCTCCGTCCAGCTTTGTTCTGTTGCTGGCAATGAGCTGCATTCCTTTGGAGTGGGAGATACGCTCTGATTTTTTCAATTTCCAGCTTTTCTGCACTGTTTTTTCCCTATCTTTGTGGTTTTATCTGCCTTTGGTCCTTGTTGATGGTGATGTACTGATGAGGTTTTGTTGTGGGTGTCCTTTCTGTTTGTTAGTTTTCCTTTTAACAGTCAGGACCCTCAGCTGTAGGTCTGTTGGAGTTTGCCTGAGGTCCACTCCAGACCCTGTTTGCCTGGGTATCAGCAGCAGAGGCTGCAGAAGATAGAATATTGCTGAACAGCGAGTGTTGCTGTCTGATTCTTGCTCTGGAAGCTTTGTCTCAGGGGTGTACCCCACTATGTGAGGTGTGAGGTGTCGGTCTGCACCTAGTGGGGGATGTCTCCCAATTAGGCTACTCAGGGGTCAGGGACTTACTTGAGCAGGCAGTCTGTCATTCTCAGATCTTAACCTCCATACTGAGAGATCCACTGCTCTCTTCAAATCTGTCAGACAGGGGCATTTACCTCTGCCGAGGTTTCTGCTGCTTTTTGTTTAGCTATGACCTGTCTGAGAGGAGGAGTCTACAGAGACAGGACAGCCTCCTTGTGCTGTGGTGGGCTCCACCCAATTCGAGCTTCCTGGTGGCTCTGTTTACCTACTTAAGCCTCAACAATGGCAGACGCCCCTCCCCCATCCTCTCTGCAGCCTTGCAGTTAGATCTGAGACTGCTGTGCTAGCAATGAGGGAGGCTCCCTGTGCGTGGGACCCTCTCGGCCAGGTGTGGGATATAATCTCCTGGTGTGCCATTTGCTATGACCCTTGGTAAAGCGCAGTATTAGGGTGGGAGTTACCCGATGTTCCAGGTGTTGTGTGTCTCAATTTCCTTTGGCTAGGAAAAGGAATTCCCTTCTCCCTTGCACCTCCCAGGCAAGGCAATGCCTCGCCCTGCTTCAGCTCTTGCTGGTAGGGCTGCACCTGCCGACCAGCACCACCTGTCCAACATAACCCCGTGAGATGAACCCGGTACCTCATTTGAAAATGCAGAAATCATCCATCTTCTGTGCCACTCACACTGGGAGCTGGAGACTGGAGCTGTTCCTATTTGGCCATCTTGGGCCAAATCTTGCTCTGTTGCCCAGGCGGGAGTGCAGTGGCATGATCTCGGCTCACTGCAACCTCCGCCTCCTGGATTCAAGTATCTGAGACTACAGGTGTGCACCACCACACCCAGCTAATTTTTTGTATTTTTAGTACAGACGGGGTTTCACCATGTTGACCAGGTTGGTCTCAAACTCCTGAACTTGTGATCTGCCTGCCTTGGCCTCCCAAAGTGCTGGGATTACAGGTGTGACCCATCACTATTGGCCAGGTTTGTTTTTTTTTTTTTCCTTTCTTGCAATAGAGGAGACAGGTCTAGTTGGGACTTACTACCTTTCCCATGCAGTAGTTGTTCTCATACCTCAGGCCCGCATCATGAGAGAGGATTTGTGTGGTCTACATCTCTGATCCTAATCATTCAGAAGACCCTAGTGAGGTTTACAGAAAAGGGCTTAGAGACTGATGTGAAATTCCCTGTTTCTATGACTCCCAGAGCTTCTATATACTCATGCTAGCCTTTACTAATTTGTTTAAAATTTTAGCTGAATTTTTCTTCTTATTGGCTTGTACAGTGTCTGGCATCTGTCCCAAGTAAACAAGGGTTTGCATTCCTTCCGTCCTTGGAGGAGTCTGTCTTTCTTTATATTTTGGGTTAACTGCATGCCCTGATATTTCAGTTCTTTGATAAATTCAAGTTGTGATTTTGATGGTCCAGCTTCAAAAAATTGTAAATATGAAAATGAAGCTCTTTACAGCTTTTTGCATGCTAATCTTAACTTTAAAAAAATTATCTGTAATCCCAAAACTTTGGGAGGCTGAGGCAGGTGGATCACCTGAGGTCAGGAGTTCGAGACCAACATGGTGAAATCCCATCTCTATTAATAATATCAAAATTATCCAGGCATGGTGGCACACACCTGTAATCCCAGCTACTTGGGAGGCTGAGGCAGGACAATTGCTTGAACCTGGGAGGCAGACATTGCAGTGAGCTGAGATCACGCCACTGCACTCCAGCCTGGGTGACAGAGTGAGACTGTGTCTCAAAACAAAACAAGACAAAACAAAAAACAAACAAACAAACAAAAATTATTTGCAGGCCATGCCTGGTGGCTCATACCAATAATCCCAGCACTTTCAGAGGCTGACACAAGAGGATTGCTTGAGGAGTTTGAGGTTACAGTGAGCTATGATCATCCCACTGCACTCCAGCCTGAATAACAGAGTGAAACCCTGTCTCAAGAAAAAAAAAATTTTCCCCTAAATTGGCTTCAGATAATGTTTTTGAAAACCAAGCAATAAAGTAAATAGCCCAAACACATTTATATGGATGATACCTACAAAGCACAAACATATATTTAGAAGCCCTTGAACAGTAACAAGCAGCATAAAAGAGGAATGTAAATCTGTCCAGCAAGGACTCCTTTATGACAAAACAACCCTGAAACATCCAAGTAGGACTAATAAAAAGGGATCCTGGGATACAGACTTTGGAATATTACATTAACTTCACTGCTCACAAGTTCTGACTAGTTTCTTATAAGTAATAGGAAATTTATAGCAGGATCCTTTATGTAAACCTCATGGCAGTAACTTGTACTTTTATCCTTAATAAAAGTGTATGAGATTCTCATCTCACTATGTAGGGTTACAAGTAACTTTTATGATATCTTTAAAAAGTTTCATGTTGAATATCTCCTCCATAATTAAAAAATGGATGTATTGGCTGAATTCATTCATTCATTTGACAAATATTCACTAAGCACCTACCACTTGCGAGGTACTCTGTTAAGTGGGGATACAGTGTGATAACGGCATGGAACTAATATCCAAGTCAACCATTGAAGTCAAAATTCTGAGCTGGCAAACTTTAGTTAGGAGTCCCCATATTAGAAAATATTATTTCAAGCAGGCCTTGTTTTTATCCAGAGAGTATATACAGTATAATAAAACTCAGTACACCAAGATTTATAGTTCTTGTGTTTTTCTCCCTAAGTAGAGTAAAAACTCCTTCAATAAAGTGATTGTGTTGTCAACCACTGCATATTCTTAAGTACCAAGATACTTGACTCCAGGCAGGTGCAAAGAGAGTCTGTTGGGTGAGTGAATGTATATCAATGAAAATCAAACAGAGGAAATTTTCTTTATATATTTTAGTGTTCTTGTTTTTTTGTTTTTTGTTTTTTGTTTTTGTGATGGTTACTTGCTCTTCTCTAAGAATAATGGAGAAAAGGTGTTAGTTTATACTGTCACACAGGGCAGTCATAGGAGACTCTGACAAAGCAAATCAATCAATGTTAAATCAGAAATGAGAATGTAGTAAGGGGGTGAAGAGACAGGGGAAGAAAATACATGGGGAAATATTGAAAAAGGACAGAGTGATCAAAAACAGCAGGGACATACGAACATTGGGCGGCACTCTGGGAGCCATTTAGTTTTATGCTCTTATTGTATGATGGAGGAAAAAAAAGGGCCTTAGTGGTTAAGTGGCTTTTCAATGCCACGTCAGACTTGTTCCATAGCAGTTGAATTAGGGGAAGGTGAATAAGTTGGAAGTTGGTGACAAGGAGAGAAGTTGGAAACTAGAGAGGAGAGTCAGAACCAGAGGGAAATGAGAGACTAAACAGGCGTCTCAGGGTTTTTGGAGTGAATTTTCTCTGTTGCAGTCAGGGGAGGTTTGTCTGTTGGTTGCAGAAAGAAGTCAGAATAGAGATATCGTGGGGGTAGGTTTGTTTGGAACAGAAATCAAAGACCATTTTTTCTGAGAGAAGGAAATAACATCTGCAAATGACATGCTGTTTTTGCTACTTCCATTGCTAGCTGTTCTCCCAGGTGGTGGCAATGCAGACGGTAAGAACTCTGACAACTGCCCAGTTGGGTGGATGAAAGTCTGTGTGTGTGTGTGTTTGTGTGTGTGCACATGTGTGTATGTGTGTGTGTATATGTGTGTGTGCTTTCCCTGGCATATACCTGGAAAGTGAGAGTGCCAGGCTGGTTCCATTCTGACTGTCCATGACTCCAAGTCCCCGAGCTCTCATGAAGGTGGTTGATAAGTCATGGGGCTCTGTGGCAAGCAAACGTCTGCAAAGACCATGATGGATCCCCTTTTCTCCAGATTCTGAGTTCCCCCACTCTGGCCTCTCTCCATTCTCTCTCTCAATTTCTTTCTCCCCATTCTATTTGTTCTTTTGCCACAGGGCTCAAGGAGCCTGTCTCCTTCCATGTCATCCGGATCACAACCTTTTATAACCATTCCTGGAAACGAAATCTGATCTCAGGTTATCTGGGTGATTTGCAGACCCACACTTCGGACAGAAATTGCAGCACCATCATTTTCCTGTGGCCCTGGTCCAGGGGAAACTTCAGCAACGAGGAGTGGAAGGAACTGGAAATGTTATTCCATATGCGCTGCGTTCGGATCCTTGAGGGAATGCATAGATACTCCCGTGAATTGCAGTTTGAGTGTGAGTTCAGTTTCCTCCATGGGGAGTGGGGAGGTGGGAGACAGGGAATGTCTCAATGTTTCTTATTCCTGTAGGAAACAGCCTGACTCTCTTCTGTATCTTGTTCTATTCTTTCCACCATAAAACTACAATTGGATACTTTTGGGCAAGGGCTCTTATCCAGATCCTAATTCTTCAAACAGTTCTGCTACTTATGAACTCCTCTGTTATTGACTGCAGGGTTATGCATTATTACCTTTTCTTACAGGTATCCTATGGCCACCCTTCTTCCTGCCCTACAACCAGATACCTTGAGCTTTCTCACTTTCTCATTCATTCTCTTCAGCAGTCTCTCTATATATACTCAATTGTAACCCATTGCATTCCATTCAACTTAAGTTGTTGTAATCCCAGTTCTCTTACACCAAGTCCTTCCTCACCCACAGCATTCACATCACTTTCTTTGACCAATCTGCCCTCTTCCATATGTTACTAATCTTTTCCTCCACCGACAGCTTCCACCAATTCCTCTTTCTCTGAATCCCTGACCAAACCAAATTTTATTCCATTATGTCAAACCCTGCAAACTTCCCCCTTCTGCTTCTGCAATCTTTGCTTCTACTCCTACAATCTTTTCTTCTACTCATTTCATTTTATCTTTTTTTCTCCCTCTTTCCCGTATTTCATAACCCCAGATCCTTTTGAGATACAGTGGACAGGAGGCTGTGAACTGCACTCTGGAAAGTTCTCAGGAAGCTTCCTTCGGTTAGCTTATCAAGGATCAGATTTCGTGAGCTTCCAGAACAATTCATGGTTGCCATCTCCAGTGGCTGGGAATATGGCCAAGCGTCTCTGCAAAATGCTCAATCAGAATCAGCATAAAAATAACATAACACACAGTCTCCTCAGTGACACCTGCCCACGTCTCATCTTGGGTCTTCTTGATGCAGGAAAGGCACATCTCCAGCGGCAAGGTCAGTCCTGCACCCTCCCTCCAAGGACTTTTGATTTGAAAATCATACCCTTCCACCACCCCCTTCCAATTTGGAATAAGGAAGAGCCACCCAGAAGTGGGAAAGGCTGGGTGCAGTGGCTCACATCTGTAATCCCAGTGCTTTGGGAAGCTGAGGCTGGAGGACTGCTTAAGGGCAGGAGTCCCAGACCAGCCTAAGCAACATAGTGAGACCCCTATCTCTAAAAAATAAAAATAAGTTATCCAGTCATGGTAGTACACACCTGTAGTCCCAGTTACTTAAGAGGCTGAGGCAGGAGGATAGCTTGAGCCCAAGAGTTTGAGGTTACAGTGTGCTATAATTATAATTATGCCACTGCACTGCAGCATAGTGACAGAGTGAGACCCTGTCTCAAAAAAAAAAAAAAAAGAAAAGAGAAATGGGAACGATGTGTCTATTTAAACTTCTAAACTGCTGTGCAGATATGAAACTCCAAGTCTGTATTTGAATATCTTTTCTGTCCTTTGCAGTGAAACCCGAGGCCTGGCTGTCCCATGGCCTCAGTCCTGGCCCTGGCCGTCTGCAGCTTGTGTGCCATGTCTCAGGATTCTACCCAAAACCTGTGTGGGTGATGTGGATGCGGGGTGAGCAGGAGCAGCAGGGCACTCAGCGAGGGGACATCCTGCCCAATGCTGACGGGACATGGTATCTCCGAGCAACCCTGGATGTGGCAGCTGGGGAGGCAGCTGGCCTGTCCTGTCGGGTGAAGCACAGCAGTCTAGAGGGCCAGGACATCATCCTCTACTGGGGTGAGAAAGAGCTGGGGCCCAGGCTGGAAATGCCAAGGGGTGGTCCTCAGGCATAGAGGGAGGGCAAGCTGAAAATTTTAGGATTTTAGGGATTATAGCCCCAACATGAATAAAAATAGGTAAGCTAAGAAATGGAAGTGTTGAAAATGAGGGCAGTGTAGATGCAGGAGGATGCTGAGGATAAGGTGAAGAATCCATCTCTGAGCAGGGATGAGAGAAAAACAAAAAAAGAAAAGAGATTGGTATGTTGGATACTCAGATGAAAAAAAGAAGCCAAGGGAATGCAGTGAAACAGGGAGTGGATGAGGTAAAATGGGGTGGATTATAACATCCTTGGTGTCTCTCCAATTTCACAGAACATCACAGTTCCATGGGCTTGATCATCTTGGCAGTGATACTGCCTTTGCTTCTTCTGATAGGTCTTGTGCTTTGGTTCAGGAAATGCTGGTGAGTTCTTGGCATGTGTCTTTCCTACTCTTAGTCCCTACCCCACTTGTCTTCCCATGTTTTTTGTTTCTCTCTCCTCAGTTCTTCTCTCCCCAGTCCCCTTCCCTCTTACTCCTCAATTCTTAGCTCCACCTTATTCAGAGTGACTTCTATCTCTGTTTTCATCCAGTTTCCGTTAAGATACACCATGATACTCCTTGTCACCCTTCTCCTTTTGGGGAGAGAGACCAGCAGTCCAACAGCTCAGGATACACCTGAACACATCATGGTGATGACGTCCTCTCAACTCTCCTTGTAAAACTTTTGTCAGTTTTGCTTGTTTCTGATTAATGATCATTTGTCAATATAAGCTCAATTTAGTTTTGCAGGATTTGTTGTTCTGACCTGGGTTCTGGGACTTTAAAATTCAAATTTTATCTCCAAATGGAATGGGATCCTAGCAATCTTCACATGTTCAACTATTAATGGATCATCAGGCTTGTTATAGATGTCCCTTATTCCCGAGGGCCTTCCCTGACTCACAGGTGGGAAACGGACTCTTCCTGGTCTGAACTCCCACCACATTTCAGCCGTACTTTGCTAACTGTACTCCTCACTTCCTCTCCTTCGTTGCAGCTATTTAGGTCCCCCTTTTCCTTCTAATTTTTCTTCTCCTTCAATGCAAAGTATGTGTGTTTTTAATATATGCATACCTGGTGAAGGATCTTGCCTTCATGAAACATGTTCTCAATAAAACTCTTTGTTGAATTTATGCCAAATTTGTAGTCTTTTCTTATTCTTTTCCTTCCTGGTGCTTTTGAAGTAGTTGAGACATTTGATACTCTTCTGGTTAAAAGCCTTCTTGGTTGGAGGAAATTTTACACATTCCTAGTTCTATAGTTTGTTCTCTGAGCTCCAGAGCAGAAACACAATTTTGTCTCTCACTACTCCTATCATTCAACTATGGAGAGTTATTCGAGTTAAATTAGTATTGCAGGTATGCAAGGCAGGATGTATATCTTTACCATTCAGTGGTTCAGGGACAAGCAGCAGAGTTCTCACATTGGAGCTTGTTAGAAAGGTAGAATTTGGGCCTCACCTTAGATTTACTGAATTATAATTTGTATTTTGGAAAATCAGCAGGATACTCACAAGTCCACTAAAATTTGTGAGGCACTGATGCTGGTGATGCCTGAGATGTAGTACAAGTGTGTCACTGAAGAGAAAATGATCAAAAAAGGGAACAAGAGTGTTGCTCCTCAAGATTGAAGTGAGATCAAGGCAAGTAATATCGTACTGCACATTCTTATTATTCACGACAGTTATGTTCTGTGCAGTTGCTGCAAACACTGGATTCATGAGCACTGAGCCATTGTTCCCAGGGAAATACAGGTGTTAGGTTCTTGTGAGCTTTTTCACAACATTTTTGTTAACTGATGAATACATAAGCTTGTTTTATGTGTGTTTCTGTTTAAAGACATCTTATTTTATATATGTATATATTTATAATTAATTCATTATATGCAGTATTTCCATATAATAAGACACTATCTAAGAAGTGTTTAGTATATTTCTGACCTTGGTTAATATGATCATAAATTTCTTTGGTTTTCAGCCTCACAACATTGCTGTCGACTATACTTAAAAAAAATAGTTGTCATTTCATGAATCCACAAATGTAGCTATTTTCCCATATGTTCAGCATAGCATTATAGATGTTACTTTCCCAAGCAACTTCCCCTACAGATGGGTGAATTTCCTCCCCCTTTTCCTGCATGTACTGCACTGTTGATTTATTAACCTTGAATTCATAGTCAACAGCCATGTAACTATAACAAAGCTTATCTAACACACACATTTTTCTCTGTAAGGCATGTCACAGCCTTCTTATGCTTAGGAAAATGAGACAACACTTAAGCATTACACTTGGGAGCCATTTAAGATTGTGAAATCACCAACCAAAAACACAAAAATGTGAAAAAGTTGGCACTATATAGACTGCAAATAGGATGCTTGTTTACTGTGTAAGAGCTGGAATGTGAAGACAGAGCACCACCTTTTTCGACCTTAGGAACATGTTCTTTGAGGGACTCAAATTTTGTACCTCTCTGCACATGTTCATGAATGATTGTGAAAGTGCTATGAATATATATCTAGGGGCTACACATAAAATTTGGCAAGTAGACAAATTAGCAAATATAACATTTTTGATTAATGAAGATTGACTATTGACACCAGATGGTAGTATTTGTCAAGTTATCCATTGCAAGACTTCAATTACTTTAGGGTTCATGAATTAATTCAACAAATATTTCTTATGATTCTGCAGATTGATATTTTCATTTCTTATTTATTTCTCAGTTTTCTAGTACAGTAAGTTATTTTAGTTGAACATGGGGAAAGGGACTTAGCTCTAATTTGTTTAGAAAACGGAGAAGAGGGGCCTAAGGCAAAGGAAACATCCAGGCAGACCACGTGCAGTTGGCAGCAGCTGCATATATAGAAATTTTTGGAAAATGAAGGTGTGATGGGAGAAGGGGAAAAGAAAAATATGGGATAGAGGAAAGCAAAGAACAGGACTGCTGCAGTCTTTCTACCTGGGTTAGACATGATTGGTTCCAACCCATTTGGGTTTCAATCCACCTTGCCACATTTGCATAATAGTCGTCTGGCGTTTGGTTGGTTGATACCACCTTCAACTCTAGCGATCAGCCTAAGGCACTAATTCAAACTCAACCTTGACAATGTGATAGGCTAAAGGATGGAAGGTAACCTGAGATTTAAGCCAATCATCATATAGATCCCACTTACCCTTGCTCAGAGTGGTCGTTCAGGGCTATGTACCTGTTCTAAAATGACTTTGTTTACATGACGCCTGATTCTTGTGTTTGACAATAGGGAAAATAGATGCTCTCTCTTGTCCTGGGTGGTATGGTGGGAGGTATAAAGCTTGAAACAGCACAAGTCATTTTTTTTCAGCACCAGAGAAATCACACAGGCAAGAAGGTAGAGGCAACGGACTCTCAGAAGAGTCCAGATTAAACTGTATCCAAAGCCTGAATGAACCCTGGACTTCTCAGTGATGATAGATGATACATTTCCTTTACTGTTTCAGCCTATCATGTTGGGTTTTCTCTTGTTTGTGCTTGAAAGCATCCTATCTGATGTACATGGACCATAGGGGACACTTAGCTGATTTTACTCTTGGTTGCAGTATTCCTCTTTATTTCCATCTTCCTCCTCCTCCTTTCCTGGGATTGGCTGTATTTTAAAATTGATTTGTTTTCTTTCACAGGTTGAGTATTCTTTATCTGAAATGCTTGGAATCACAAGTGTTTCAGATTTCAGATTTTGGGTGGGGGCTTTAGAACATTGCATATACCCACCAGCTGAGCATCCCTAATCTGGAAATCTGAAACTTGAAATGCTCCAATGAGCATTTTCTTTCAGCATCGTGTCTGTGTTCAAAATGTTTTAAATTCGGGAGCACTTTGCATTTCAGATTTTCACATTAGGAGTATTTGACCTATAGTTTTTTCTTATATGTGTCCTTATCTTTTTAAACTCTTACACTGTCCTGTTTTTAACTATGCCACCTGGATTAATTACTCTTCTGAACTTTTCATATGCTTCTGACCAGGAATAAAAGTGCTGCATCTGCTGCTAAGTGAGTGACTTTGGAAAGGTTCCCTGATCTTTCTTCTTTTATTCGGTTAAATGGAGGCAAAAATATATACTCTTACAATTTTCATAGGAATGCAAAGGCAGTCTAGTGTTATTAAAATGCCAGGAGTTTGGTTTACGCCCTGCTGCTTGGACATAGAAAACCAGTTACTGAGGCAATGAGTATTGCCAGGGAAGAGGGCTTTAATTGACTGCTGCAGCCGAGGAGATAAGAAATCAATCTCAAATCCGTTTCCTTGATCGACTAAAATTAGAGATTTATAGGGCAGGGAAGAAACGGAACCCTGTGTGGCAAAATAGGAATTAGATAGAGGTAAGGAAGAGGAGTTGGTCAATAGCAAGTAGGTGTTTGTTTAAGCAATCATGATGCGTGAGGAGTCTGACATCTCATTGTCCAGATGCAGTAGTTTGGTAGGTTTTAGTTGTTTTTGACAAAGTTTTGGTTCCTTGGCCAGGAATGTATTGCTAGTAACTTGGCCGCTGTGGGCTGGGAGAATCTCAAAAGCCCTCCTAAGCAGCTGCCAACACTTTTTTGGCCACAAGTGGATGTCAGTTTTTCTTTCTCTGGCCCTACGTCTGCTGGCCCCAGTCATGTTCCTGATTGCCTAGGAAGAGCAGCCGTTGAAATGTGTCATCTAAGTCTGGATGGGTGAATGTCTTTTGTGGGTACCAGGTAGTGGGATCTTCTGCTCTCAATGGGGGGAATTCTGAAGGAATTTCCATTTGCAGGTTGAACAAGCCCAACTGATTGATACAGGAAAGCACCCTGACTGTTCCAGTTTAGACACATTTGGAACTCGTTGGTTGCTGCAGCAATTGGACAGTGTTTTAGTGATTGCTTGTTTATTTGTGTGTGTCAATATAGTCATAGGAAATCAGAATTTGATAACCTGATAATATTTTGTAACACTGTTTGGCTCCAGTGTTCTTTGGAATCTGGAGAAGTTTGGCTTCTCCATGGGTCACGCTGTTGAGTGAGACAGTGGAATGGTGTTACAGTAGTACGTATATCTAGGCTTTTAGGCTGCTGTTCTAAGCAGGGTTGGGCCTGGTTAGTACATGATGTTCTTCTATAGTGCTGTTTGGCCCCATTGTTCTTTGGAGTCTGGGGAAGTTTAGCCTTTAAAAATCAAATGGCCACAGAAACTGCTTTACCCAAATTTTGGTTCAAAGCCTTCATTGGATCACCTACTGGAGCAAACAAAGTTGAGCCATGTGAACATGTTCCTAAACCAGTGCGCTGGTATTGCTATCTCATGGCTAGAGTTTCAAGGTAAAAGCTAGTACATCTTTGTGTGTGTATGTATATACATGTTTAGATGTGTTTATGTGTATGTACATTTATTATGTTGTATGTTGTGTCTACCAAATTGGCTTGTACATAAAAGAGCATCTCATACACTAAATAAATAAATCAAAGCGATTTTCAAGTTTATGTGACTTAAGTCATCTTTACTAAAAAAGCTGGCTTTAAAATCATTGGTAAGGTAAAAATAGGAAGGTCTTAACAATGTTAGAATACATTTTGGCCTGGATTTTATAATTGTCTTTGATAGATACTTTGAGGTGTCAGCGTTTGCCACAGAAGGTTATAAAAGTATAAAACCCAGCCAAAAAAATGATCTTTGTTTGTGTGCCTTCTTTGGTCAAATAAGACTAATTAAATGTTGTTTGTTTTAATAAAAAACAGCTGAATCTTCTAAGTTACCTGGGCAAAAATACCTATATGTATTTAAGCTGCTTACGTAGGTGGGCACACCTAATATTCATAGGCTACAAATAATAGTCAAGAAGAGCAATAACCTGAAATGATGACTACCTTTGTCTAATATCTCAGTTTTCAGAAGGAACTTATATAAACTGTTTAAAGATGAAAAGAATTGAATACATTTAAATGGGATACATGCTGTAGGTGAGCTTTTTGTGTAATTTAAAATCTTAAATTATTTTTGATGCTTCCTGGATGTCTGGGTCATTCCATTAAGAAAGGGTTATATATACTGACAAACCAGATCCAGCAGCACATCAAAAGTTTAATGCCACCATGATCAAGTGGGGCTCTTGCATCCCCTGGGATGCAAGGCTGGTTCAACAT